AGATGGTTAACTGAGTCTCTTCAAGGAAGGTTTCTTGACGTTGGTGAGAGACTCTAGATCTAGGGAATTGGATCTGTGCTCCAGTTCCCTGAATTAAGCCTAAATACCTTCCACATCCCCCGACAGGCGCTGTACAATCCTACGGGTTTAGCGCTTCCCCTTGATTATAATAATAATAATAATAATGGTTAACGGAGTTTAAAGTTAACCTATTACGCAAAAAGTCATAAATGGTACAAGTATTCTGTTCACTCTGAATCAGAACACCTTAGTCCCTAAAATAAGGATTAAATTAAGCTCTCAGCATATATACCAAACGAGCATTAGAATGAAAGTAGCTCAGAGGCACCCACACCGCTGTATGTACTCGGATCATGGTAAAACACCTAGCTCTTCTGGGTGCTTGATTCTTTGTAGGATTGCGTGGTCTTGTGGGTCAGAGTGTCATGTGTGATTTTCGCTCACCATGAGGCAGGCCAAAACGACATTGGGTCGAATCCTCGGCTAGTCGCAGCGATGCTATTGATACAATGAAAGATGTACATTTGTGTGTGTGTGTGTGTATATCTTACGCAGTTATGATTGGTTAATTAAAGCCTATCAACTATGGGAGGATTATTAGGACTGCAGGTAGAAAGCTCGCCAGCAATTAAGAAAACACTGTGTATACACTTTCATACATACATACTCCTCTTTGTGTATATAAATTTTTGTAGTTAAGTCTTCGCCCTCCCCCCATATATATATGTCGTGCCGAATATGTAAAACTGGTCAATTAGCAAGAACTCATTTAAAAATAATTTTTTTCTAAAATTTTCTCGGGAGAAAGCCTGGGCCTTTCTTTAAACCCCACCAAATGTGAAATAGTTTCTACCAATCAACCGATGATCCAGAATATCAGCGCTGTTTTACCAGGAGCACGAGCCATTGATCCAGCCAATAGCACTCTCCTTGGTGCTCCTCTTGGGTCCAGTGCCATCGATTATACGTTTAAAGATATATTTTTTTCATTAATATTGATGTAAAAATTTATAATTTTGGACCAAAAGAATCTTAGAAAACTTACCTAACATTATTATAATAACAACAATTTATTTTAGCCTAACTCAACTAAATATATTTTATATAAGTTTACAATAATTTAATAATAAAGAAACACAATGAAATACATGTATATTTTTTTCGTTAGGTTCAGAATGATTTTGGCGAAATTACTGCATACACAAATTTTCGCTTGTCCTATATGACAAGATGTGTGGTGTGAATATAATGCAGAGAATTCGTAGTTTGGAAGTTAGGAGGAGGTGCGGGATTACCAAAACTGTTGTCCAGAGGGCTGAGGAAGGGTTGTTGAGGTGGTTCGGACATGTAGAGAGAATGGAGCGAAACAGAGTGACTTCAAGAGTGTATCAGTCTGTAGTGGAAGGAAGGCGGGGTACGGGTCGGCCTAGGAAAGGTTGGAGGGAGGGGGTAAAGGAGGTTTTGTGTGCGAGGGGCTTGGACTTCCAGCAGGCATGCGTGAGCGTGTTTGATAGGAGTGAATGGAGACAAATGGTTTTTAATACTTGACGTGCTGTTGGAGTGTGAGCAAAGTAACATTTATGAAGGGGTTCAGGGAAACCGGCAGGCCGGACTTGAGTCCTGGAGATGGGAAGTACAGTGCCTGCACTCTGAAGGAGGGGTGTTAATGTTGCAGTTTAAAAACTGTAGTGTAAAGCACCCTTCTGGCAAGACAGTGATGGAGTGAATGATGGTGAAAGTTTTTCTTTTTCGGGCCACCCTGCCTTGGTGGGAATCGGCCAATGTGATAAAAATAATTACCGATAGAGTTATTATATATTTTTTAAAACTAATTGTTATCATTTACTAGAAATAAGAAAAAAAACATTTCTATTTCGACATTTTGGGACATTTTGTCGTTTTTAATGTCTTGTAAAAGGCGACCAAGAAAAGGCACTAAGTAAATTTACTGTATTGTTGTAATTTCCAGTCATGTAGTAAATGGTCTCATATCATCAGTCTTCACGTACGCCCACGTATAATAATAATTATTACTATTATTTTTATAATAATAATAAATAAAATAATAATAATAATAATAATAATAATAATAATAATAATGCTCTTAATCTTATTCAAATAAAAGTTTAAGATTTTACTTCATTTGAGAAGACTAATAATCTTTTATGAGAGCATTTAAATATACTGTCTCATTTTACCATAGACATAAATATCCTAAACTAATTTATTATATCAAGTGAAACTTGAGAATCAAAGCTCTGTATGAGTTTGAAACACCTGTGAATAAACATGTGTAAGTTTAAGAGTTGTAGAGAGACTAAAGTTGGTTTATGTTCAGACTTGACAAGTTTGAGTTACTTGGCAACTCTTCAAGAAAATTCTATATGATTATGTACAGTAAACAGTAAACTACACATATATAGCAACTTAAATCACAGCTAACTCACTCATCAGAGAGGAAAAATTTAGACTACTTCTCGGTCCGATTTAATAATGTTCTGGAGTGGACCGAAATGTTATCTAAACCGAGGGTCAGTTATGAACTGCTCCAGTCACTGAATTGTGACTTTAAATTTTTCGAAAGCTTTATAAAACTATATTTAACCTCAAGGTCAGGCTGGAGCAGTCACATGAAATATTTCTTCCTTTAGTTCTTTACATTACGTCAGCTGTTGCTGGGGTTTTCAATCACAACAGTTATAAATTGCATCACGATGCCTTTGATGTAGAGATGAATTTCAGTTTTTAATAGAGGTATATGCAACGCGCAATTACTGTATCCCAGTTTGATTTCACTAATCTTTCAGTTATATTTAGAATTTGTACTGCGAATAAAAAATTATTAAAATGAATTTCTTTGGATGGAAATAAATGGTATAAAATACCCACACAATGGAAATATAAACACATATGTAGTATAATGTGATCCTTTATTGACAACGTTTCGCCCACACAGTGAGCTTTTTTAAGTCACAAACAGATCTACCTGGGGTGGAAGGTACGCGAGTATTTATAGTCAGGTTCAGAATGTTGAGGTCAGGTAGAGAATGCTGCATCTGATGATGTACCGAGTGGGGTTACAGAGTCTAAAATCTTGGGTAGCTTGGAAGGGAGATTGGATAAGTTTGTGAGTAGACCTTCTGAAGTGTTCTTCCATTCCTATGTTCTTATGTGGGATAGCGATGAAGAAGTTTCTTGACAAGTGGTTCAGCTATGTTATAGAAGCCATTATTCTGGTTGAAGTTGTTGGATATAGAGATAAGTGATGATTCCAGGATTCTTCGGTATTGAGTGTTGTCTTCTCTGGCGATAAGTCTTGAGTTTCTGTTGTTTATTAAATGGTTGTGTGAATTACGGTGTTGTTCACTCGGTAGATCATCAGATGCAACATTCTCCACCTGACCAGCATTCTGAACCTGACTATAAACACTCGCGTACCTTCCACCCCAGGTGGAAACAGTAAGAGACCACTTATAAATATTATAACAAAAAGACCAACAACATTAATCGTATGAATCACTGACCAACAATATTGATTAAAACAATCGAAGATCTATGGTAACATTACAAAAATATGCATTATAACTATTATAAACAAACAATATACATAAAAAGAAACTAGAAACCAGCCATATACATAACAGAAACCAGTAATATACATAACAATAACTACAAACCGGCAATGTAAGTTAAAATAATCAGAGAGCCGCAATATGCATTTAAACCATCAAAGACTATCAATATACGTCATAACAATCACAAACCAACAATATGCACCTAACAATCACAGCCCAGTCTCAGTGACTGGCAATTACTTATTGCAAATTAGGATAATGTTAATGTTCCATTAGAATTTACTTTATATCTTATGTATGAACTCTGCATTGTTGTATGCACATTGTTGTATGCACATTGTTGTATGCACATTGTTGTATGCACATTGTTGTATGCACATTGTTGTATGCACATTGTTGTATGCACATTGTTGTATGCACATTGTTGTATGCACATTGTTGTATGCACATTGTTGTATGCACCATTGTTGTATGCACATTGTTGTATTGCACATTGTTGTATGCACATTGTTGTTGCATTGTTGTATGCACATTGTGTATGCACATTGTTGTATGCACATTGTTGTATGCACATTGTTGTATGCACATTGTTGTATGCACATTGTTGTATGCACATTGTTGTATGCACATTGTTGTATGCACATTGTTGTATGCACATTGTTGTATGCACATTGCATTATCTTCAGGATGAAAATTGTGAAGGAATCTAATGAGGCTGTCTGGCGATCTATCTTTTTCTTAACTCTGGTGTAGGACTTACCATCACATCTCTTGACGTGATATTCATTTATTTTTACTGGGTGGAGCGGTAAGCCAGCGGAAGGCCTCTGTCATTATATCAAAAGCTCCTACAAAGACTAAAAACTTGATGATCAGTATTTCATTGGGACAAGCATTTCACTCCGTGTAGAGTTTTATTTTTCAAGATATGATTGATAAAGTTTTACATAGACGTGAAATGTTCTGCCAATAAATTTTGATCAACAACCTGTGTTTTTCCGCCTTGATACTTGTCCTCAACGCGACATGTCTTGCAGTAAAAGCTACAATAAGCGGATCACTCTGACTAAGACCATCATAAGAGGTCTCACTCTATGACTAAGACCATCATAAGAGGTCTCACTCTATGACTAAGACCATCATAAGAGGTCTCACTCTATGACTAAGACATCATAAGAGTCTCACTCTATGACTAAGACCATCATAAGAGGTCTCACTCTTGACTAAGGACCATCTAAGAGGTCTCACTCTATGACTAAGACCATCATAAGAGGTCTCATCTATGACTAAGCCCATCATAAGAGGTCTCACTCTATGACTAAGACCATCATAAGGCTTCACTCTATGACTAAGACCATAAAGAGGTCTCACTCTATGACTAAGACCATCATAAGAGGTCTCACTCTATGACTAAGACCATCATAAGAGGTCTCACTCTATGACTAAGACCATCATAAGAGGTCTCATTTCTATGACTAACACCATCATAAGAGGTCTCACTCTATGACTAAGACCATCATAAGAGGTCTCACTCTATGACTAAGACCATCATAAGAGGTCTCACTCTATGAAAGACCATCATAAGAGTCTCACTCTATGACTAAGACCATCATAAGGGGTCTCACTTATGACTAAGCCATCATAAGAGGTCTCACTCTATGACTAGACCATCATAAGAGTCTCACTTATGACTAAGACATCATAAGAGGTCTACTCTATGACTAAGACCATCATAAGAGGTCTCACTCTATGACTAAGACCATCATAAGAGGTCTCACTCTATGACTAAGACCATCATAAGAGGTCTCACTCTATGACTAAGACCATCATAAGAGGTCTCACTCTATGACTAAGACCATCATAAGAGGTCTCACTCTATGACTAAGACCATCATAAGAGGTCTCACTCTATGACTAAGACCATCATAAGAGGTCTCACTCTATGACTAAGACCATCATAAGAGGTCTCACTCTATGACTCAGACCATCATAAGAGGTCTCACTCTATGACTCAGACCATCATAAGAGGTCTTTTTCCTGAGGATTAAAATCTGCCCACAATGATATCCAAGTGAACTTGTGTTAACTTAAACTGTAATAATAATGGAAACATAATTAAACTTGCCTTAGAAACTGGAAAGAATTAGTGAAAAAAAGGGAACCTGATGAAGAAAATGGATGAAAATCCAAAATTCAAAACTAAGACAAAGGCTGAAAAAAAATTGTATTGGATGGGAAAGAAAGAAAATGAAAAATGAGAATTAAGAAGAGGATGAGATGTAGAATAGGAGAGAAGACGAATGTGAAGGTAGGTCAAGATAAACTGAAAAAAAAAAGAGAGAAGTATACAAAGAAAAAGAGAAGGAAGGAATACAAGAGAAATATGAAGAAAAACATACAAATAAAGAGTAAGAGGAGTACAGAGGTGAGAGAAACAAAGTAAAAGGAGACATAATGAATAAGAGCAGGACGGCACATGATAAAGAAGAGGCACAGGAATTAACGAAGAGAAGAAAGATGAAATAAGTGCAGAAAAATAGGAGAATAAAAGATAGAGAAGTACACAGAGAGAAAGTGGAGTACAGATCTGAGGGAAGAAACAAGGACTCGAATTTTACATAAGACCAAACCTTTTTTAACCATCGGGGCCCTTTGGGGACATAAATCAAAGGGGGGTTCACGCTAACCCTTGAGGCTTCGAGGCTTAAATTTTTGGGGTCCATCTTGAAAAAAACTTTAAAAGGGGCCCACCCCAAAAACAATTTTGGGATTTTAAAAAAAAAAAAAATTTCTTATGCAATTTCATTAATAAAATTATTTGACAAAAACCCCCAATCATGGGGTCCAAAAAGCCCACTAAAGGTTTTATAAACAAAACTTTGGGGTTCATTACAAAATTTAAAAATTATTTTTGGGATATGGGTTGGGGGGAGGTTTTGCTGTGGGGGTTTTTGAAAAGAAATTTGTGGGATTTGGATTGTTGGGCAAATTTGGGTGGTGGGGGTTTTTGGGGGGGGGGGGGTTTTGGGGGGGTTAAAATTTGGGGTAAAAATTAGGGTTTTTTGGGGGGGGGAATTAAGTGGTATATTTGGGGGTAAAATTTTGGGGGTGGGGTTTTTTTGGGGTTAATTTTTGGGTGAATAAGGGAAATTGTTTAATTTAAAAGGGGTTTAAATATGGAAAATTTTTTGTTGTAAAAAGAAGGTTAGAAAAAAAGGGAAATTGTGGGGGTTGGGGGGAAAAAATTTAAAAATAGGGTTAAAAAAAGTTTTGGGTTTGGGGGGAAAAAGGGGTAGTTGAAGGGAGAGATTTTGGGTTTGGGAGGGAGATGGGGTGGGTGGGAAGTTGGGAGAAAGTATCAAAAAAAGAAAAGGAAAAGGTGGTAATTGGGAAAAAAAAAAAGGTGGGAAAGAAAGGGTAAAAAAAAAGTGGGTTGAAAAAGGAGAGGGGGGTTAAAGAAGGGGGGGAAAAAAAGGGAAAAAAGAAGAAAAAAGGGGAAAAAATTGGAAAATTGTGTGGAGAAGTTTGGAGTTTTGGAGAAAGGGGGGGAAAAAAAAGGGGATTTTGGGGGAATTTTAATTTAAAGAAAGGGGGGGTTTAATGGGTGGGGGGGGTGAGTGGGGAGAGGGGTGGGTTGGGGTAGAGATTGGGGGTGGTAGAAAAGTTTTTAGAACCCAAAATTTTTTTTTTGAAAAAAAAAATTTTTTTGGAATGGTTTTTGGGAAAATTTTAAATTTGTTTAAAAGAAAGGGGTTTAGATAAAATTTGGTTTTTAAATTTTAAGGGTGGGAAGAAAAAGGGTGGGGGGAAATTTGTTTGGGGGGTAGAATAGTAGTGGTAGAGGAGTGGAAAAGAATTTGGGGGAGAAAGGGTTGGGTTGGGGTTTGAAGTAGGGGTTTAGTGGGGGGTGGTTGGTAGTGGTTTTTGGTGGGGTAGAAGTGGGGGGGTGAAAGTGGGGGTTTTAAAAGTAGGGGTTTGGAAAGTAGTGGTAGGGTAGTGGTAAGTTGGTGGAGAAGTAGGGGTTTGGAAGGGGGGTAAAGTGGGGTTTAGAATTTGTGGGAAAAGTGGGGGTAGAATTTAGTGGTTTAGTTGTAGGGGGAGAATGGTGGTAGGGGTTGGGGTAAAATTTTGTGGTAAATTTGGTGGTGGGAAGTGGGGGTTTGGAAAGTAGGGGTAGAATTTTGGGGGGATTTAAGTAGGGGTTTAGAAGTAGGGGTTTTAGAAATTTTGTGGTTAAAATGTAGGGGGAGAAGTAGGGGGTTTGAAGTGGTGGTAAAAGAGTGGTAGAATTTGTGGTTGAAGTGGTGGTAGATGGGGTTAAAAGTAGGGGTTTAAAGTAGGGGTAAAAGGTGGGTGGTAGGTAGTGGTAGAAGTGGGGTGGGAAAAAAGGTAGTGGTTGAAAGTAGGGTTTAAAGAAATGGGGGTAGAATTGTGGTAAAAGTAGGGGGTTTTTGAAGGGTTTGGTTTAAAGTATTGGTAGAAGTGGTGGTAAAAAGTTGGGGTAGAGTGGTGGGAAAGAAATTGGTTTTAGAAGGGGGGGTAAAATGTAGGGGTAAAAGTAGTTTGTGGGAAGTGGTGGTAGTGGGTTAGGGGTTTTGGGGGAAGTGGTGGGTAGAATTTGGGGTTTGAATTTGTGGTAGTGGGTAGGGGTTTAGAATTTGGGGGGAAAAAGAAGTAGGGTAGAAGTAGGGGTTTAAAGAAGTAGAAGTAGTGGTAGAAGTATGGTGGGAGTAGTGGTGGAAGTGGTGGTAAAAGGGTGGTGGTAAAAGTAGTGGTAGAAAGTGGGGGTTGAAGTGGGGTTTAAAAGTAGTGGTAGATTTGGTGGTTGGAAGTAGGGGTTTAAAAGTGGGGGGTTTAAGTTAGGGGGTTTAAAAGTGTGGTAGAAGTAGTGGTAGAAGTGGGGGTGGGAAGTATTTTTTTAAAAAGGGGTGGTAGAATTTAGTGGTTGAAGTTGTGGTGGGGAAAGTAGGGGTAAAAAAGTAGGGGTGGGGAAGTGGTGGTAGAAGTAGGGGTAAAAAGTAGGGTAAAAAGTGGGTGGTAGAAGTAGGTGGTTTAGAAGTGGTGGTAAAAGTGGGGGTTGGTTTTGTGGTAGAAGGGGTTTGTAAAAGGTGGTAAAAAGTAGTGGTAGAAGTAGGGGTTTAGAAGGGGGGGTAGAAAATTTTAGTGGTGGTAAAAGTAGGGTTTAGAATTTGTGGTAAAAGTTTTTGGTTTTGGGAAGGGGGTAGAAGTAGTGGAAAGAATTTTAGGGGTTAGAATTTGGGGGTTAGAAGAAGTGGTAAAAGGGGGGGTGGTAAAGTATTTGGTTAGAATTATTTGGTAGAGTGGGGGTTTTGGAAGTAGTGGTAGAAGTAGGGGTAAAAGGGTGGTGGGTAGGAAAGTTTGGGTGGTTTTAGAATTTAGGGGTTTTGAAGTTGGGTAAAAGTAGGGGTTTGAAAGTAGGGGTTTTGAAGTAGTGGTAAAAAAGTAGTGGTAAGAAAGTGGTAGAAAGTGGTGGTGGAAGTAGTAGGGTTAGAAGTAGTGGTAGTTGTAGGGTTTGAATTTGGGGGTTTAGAATTTGTGGTAGAATTTGTGGTAGAAGTAGGGGTTTAGAAGTGGGTGGTTTTGGGGTAAAGATGTTGGGGTTAAAGGGAATTTGGGGTTTAAAAAGTGGGGGTTTTGAAGTAGGGGTTGGTTGGGGTGGGTGGTTTTGAAGTAGGGGTAGTAGTGGGGTAGAAGTAGTGGTGGGAGAAGGGGTGGTTGAAGTAGTGGTAAAATTTTGGTGGTTAAAAGTAGGGGTTTAGAATTTGGGGGTTTTGAAGTGGTGGGAAGTATTGGTAGAAGTAGTGGTAGAAGTAGGGGTTTTTAAGAAGTTGGGGGGAAGAAGGGTTTTAAAAAGTAGGGGTAAAAAGTAGTGGTAGAGGGGTTGTTTAGAAGTGGTGGTTAGAAGTAGGGTAGAATTTGGTGGTAAATTTGGTGGGGTAGAAGTGTGGTAAAATTTTGGTTTTTAGAAGTGGTGGTAGAATTTAGGGGGTAGAAGAGTTGGGTTAAAAGTGGGGGAAAAAAAGTAGTGGAAAAAAGGTAGGGTAGAAGTTTTTGAAAGAATTTGGTGGTAGAAGTAGTGGTAGAAGAAGTGGTAGAAAAAGGTGGTAGAATAGTGGTGAAGTAGTTTTTTAGATTTTGGTGGTAGAAGTAGGGGTTGGAAGTAGGGTGAAGTGGTGGTAGAAGTAGGGTTTAGAAGTAGGGGGAAAGAAGTGGGTTGTTTAGAAGTGGTGGTAGAAGTAGGGGTTTAGAAGGGGGGTAGGGGTAGAAGTGGGGGTTTAGAAGTAGGGGTTTAAAAAAGTAGGGGTAGAATTTTGGTTAGAAGTTTTGTAGAAGGGGGTGGTAAAAGTATTTGGTGAAGTAGTGGTGAGTGGTTGTTTAGAAGTG